CTGTTACGGAAACATTTTCAAAAACTTAAGTTCATGTGATCTAAGTTTTAAATTTAGAAAAAGCCACATTATGGAACTTGATATTAAAATTTCAGTCACATCTAGTTTATTCTGTAACCTATTATTGATACCATCCAAGAGCGCTTTCACATTAGAGCGTTCGACAGCAACGCGACAGCGGCGTTTTTATAATGTAAAGGCATGCATCCGCTGTCACATAGTAGGTATGAAATTTTCGGTAGCGCGTCTGTCGCGTGTTTGTCGCGCTGCTAAATCGCCGAAATTTGAATGCGCTCTAATAGAGCTCGTGAAGCAGTTTCAGCATCAGTAACCAGTTTTTCGATATCTTGTATAGTTTAGAAATAATCGAGTGATATCACTTATCGTGTATGTACTTACCGACATGAGGAGAGTAATCAAAACTACACACAACTTTACGGAATATGATACAAGCTGAGTAGGAGCCATTTTGGTTCAACAATTTATATATAATTATTAACCAAATTGTGTAACATTACTAGGGTATGCAAAACCGAAAGTTTATCAAAAACCGATTTTTTTTTCGGTTTCCAAGAAAAAAAACCGGTTTTCGGTTTTTAATCGGTTATTATCGTACTATTTTTTTTTCAATCAACTAGTAGTTACATACAGCGATTTGTTACGTCCTAACCGTTTTGTGTTAGATTACATTATTTAAGAGAGGGTTATAACAGTTTTGATAAATTTAGCTTATTCATTAGGCATTATAGGCACATAATGAATAATGACTTGACTTACTTATGGTCCTATGTCCCCTAGATGGGGCAGAGGGCGTCCACAACAGTCCTCCATCGCGTTCGGTCTTGAGCTATGTGTTTGATCTCGCCCCAAGTCTTGCTGATCTTCTTCGCCTCGTCTGCCACAGTGCGCCGCCAAGTTTGCTTGGGGCGACCACGTTTGAGTTTTCCTTGGGGGTTCCAATCCAGAGCCTGCTTGGGGATGTGATCGGGATCCCTTCGGAGAGTGTGGCCAATCCAGTTCCACTTACGGCGCTTGATCTGCTGGTCAATCGGAATTTCGTGGCAGCGTTCCAATAGCTCGACGTTGGAGATTTTCTCAGGCCAGTATATGCCGAGAATTCGGCGAAGGCAGCGGTTGACGAAGACCTGCAGCTGGTGCGAGATGACCTTGGTGACCTTCCACGTTTCACACCCATAGAGCAGCACGGATTTAACGTTGGACCCGAAAATTTTGATCTTGACCCTTCGGGTCAGTTTCCGTGACTGCCATACGGGGCGAAGTTGTGCGAAGGTGGCTCTAGCCTTGGCAATACGCGAAGTGATGTCCTCTTCGGTACCTCCAGTCTCTGACACGACGCTCCCGAGGTAGGTAAAATTGTGGACACGTTCCACATCCTCTGCACCAATCCGTAATGGTGTGCAATTCCTCACTCCAGATCGCATCTCTTGGGTCTTCCGGCAGTTAATTTTGAGCCCCGTGATGCCCGCCTCTCGATGTAGGTCATCAATTTTGGATTGCATATCGTGATGCGTGTGGCTCAGCAAACAGAGGTCATCGGCATAATCTAAGTCTTCTAAGACTCCGATTATACCCCACTCTATTCCACGCCGTTGGTTTTGATATGCACGACACATGACTCCATCCAAGACTACCAAAAAGAGAAGCGGCGAAAGCAGGCAGCCTTGCCGGACGCCCGCATGCACCTCAATGTCTTCGGAGATGAGGCCGTCGTGAGTGACTTTACAAGAATATTTCTTGTAGATGGCCTTCTGTAGATCGATAATTTTCGGCGGGACACCAATGTCAGCGAGTCGCGACCATATGCTTGCCCACTTTAGCGTATCAAAGGCTTTTTCGAAGTCTACAAAGGTAAGATAGACTTCCCTTTGCCATTCTGATGCCTGCTCCAAGATGATACGCAAAGTATTGATCTGGTCGGTGCACGAGCGGTTCGGGCGGAAGCCAGCCTGTTCCCTACGCAAAAGAGGTTCAACGGCCCCCGATAACCTATCCAAGATAATCTTGCAGAAAACCTTTGACGGTATCGAGAGCAAAGTGATACCTCTCCAATTGCTACACTGGCTTAGGTCCCCTTTCTTTGGCACAGTAATTAAAAGCCCCTTATTCCAGTCGTCTGAATAATGAATAAGCTAAATTTAACTCAAGGGATGGTAGTTTATCTCCATTGTACGTAATAATTGTCAACGAATACGTTTTTAAAATTCATTACTCTATCGGTTTAGTATTTTGTTAATTACCACCATGTACGTAATGTACATCAAAAACGTATTTGTTTACAATTACGATTGATATAAGCAATATCTTAAATTAAAAAGTAGAATAAAATGTAAAAAGCTTTATATTTGTGAACGTTAGGTGGTATTTCTGTAAAATTTCAATACACTAAGTATTACAGTAATAAGCTTCTGCAGATATCGCAAATAAATGAGATTCAATGTTCAAAACAATTCAGAAATAAAAACTGTTCAATTCACTCACACATTAGGTTAATTATTCACTGCAATAATCACCAACTATCTGAATCGCGGGGTGGGTCATGTCAGGTGGCGGGCGCGAGCAGTACGAGTCTTAAATAATTATCGGGGATTCCCCGTTCAAAGGTAAACGACGGAGTAACCAAGTGACAATGTTGCCAAGTTATAAATTGTAAAATAACCAAATATTCGTCTAATATCAAAATACCCAGGTTATATTATAATAAAATGATATTGCTTATTTATGGAATTTGTTACGTGTATACCGATAGAAAAACCGATTTAAATCCGGGTTTCGATTTTTAAAACCGGTTTTAGAATTCGTCGAAAAAGGGCGGTTTTTCCGATTTTTCGGTTTCCGATTAACCGGTTTTGCATTCCCTAAACATTACTATGTTTGAACCAAATAAACAATTTTTCTTTCTTTCTTTCTTTCAAAGTACAGTGCTGGTCATCGTGACAAGTTCAGTACATATACTAGTACATACACTATGCACTACAGCATGTTTTGCTCATATTTATGCATTTTGTCACAATAACGCACTTGATCAAACATTATAAAGGACTAACGCTGAATTGCACCAACTAAAATTAACCGTATCTATAACTGTTGTTTTTTGTATAGAGTTTGACAGAATTTTGAAGTTTGTTAAAGTTAACTGTGGTTAAAGTAAGATTGTGCAACCCAAACTAAGAGCTAGCGAACGCCAGACCTAAACCTTTTTATTAAAATTGATTTAATATCTTGAGTGTCTAGTGTGAGTTCACATCAAATGAAAAATGTATGAAAATGTTGGTTCTTGAAACTTTATAACGTTCTTTTACGCGCTCACTAGTGACGACGTTTAATGTAAACTCGCACTCAGCCCGAGTTCCACGTTCCAATCTTAGATTAATAAAGCCTAGATAGATAGTCAGTGCACGAAAGGTGAGGCAGTTTTTAGGGAGCCGGAACGGCTCCCCCGTAAACGTCACATGAACTGTCAAAGTGAAAAATTGGCAAACACGTCTGACGAATTTTAATTAATTAAAACGGTTTATGCTGTGAAAAGGTGTCTAAAATACATCAGAAAAACGAAAGAAAGTGACCAGTGTTACATTTCATAAGTAAGTACTACAATTTAACGCGTATTTTGCTTGAATTTGGCTTTCAAAAATTAAATACGGGAATGATACCAGTAACAAGAAAATTTATTTCCCAATTGTTCGCCGTACAAATACACTTCCTTTTTTATGAAATCGAGACTTAAGTCGATTTATCATAATGTAATTAGGTAGGTACTTTGAATTCAATAAATAAGTAAGTACATGATGCGTTTTGTTTTTGTTAATTATAAAATAATTAAAAACGTATTAAAAATTTTCCTACTTTCGGGAAAATCGCCTTCACTGTCTACACTCCCCAACAAATTTGACACTAATGACATAAGATTTTTGCCTCACTCTTGACGAAGCGTTTGTATGAAGACTATCCATCTAGGTTTTACTAATCTAAGGTTCCAATATATTACGGAAAGCATTGTAGTTCCGAAACACCGTGACAGGATTCCAACTATTAGCAACCCCGATGGTTCGACGGCGTGATTGTGAAGCTTCGCTAGTTCCTCCTCTATATTTACTATACAATTTGCCTTCTCGCATACATTTCACGCCTTTAACTTTGTGCCGAAAACCCTAAGCCACGTCAACGAAATTCACATCTTACGTGTTTGTCCCCAAGATATATTTCTCTTTGGTCTCCATTGGAAATTTTCGACTGTTCTACGCTTCAGTCTGAGAAATTTCATTTCAGAAGATTTTGCGATTTGCTCCCGGCACACCCCCGGGAGAGGCCATTGATTTATAAGGGAGAATTGCCTTTTTCTGTATATTCGAAAAATTTGTTGTATTACATATTACAGTTCCCTTGTGCCAGTCGTGAACATTTTCAGCTTTCTAAAAATACTAGACACCAAACCTTAGGTCGTCTGTTTTATTTGTGTGGATCAATAATGTGATTCTATAAACACATCATGTAGTTTTTTGTAAATTAAATGACTCTCAACTATAATTAGTTTCATATTGTATTATTACTGATAAACAATAAATAATCATAAATTTAACTAATGTTAAGGAAAACTTGTGTAACTAGAACTAGTATCTTGTTTAAGGTAACGAAACAAATGTATTTGTAGCAAGGGGAGTGACTTTGTTTTAAGTAAAGAAGATTTAGGTACTTTGCAAAAAATTTTGGTTACATAATTAGGTTACTTGTTGTTAATTTAATTCTTATATTCCTCGTACCTATATCATATGTAATTAATATAAGAGCTGTAAGTTTCTTTCAATAAATAAATAAATAAAATTTTGTTATTTATACAAATATCCTATCCCCCTTTACTAATAAAAAGTTACACACTTGTTGAACACTGTTTTAAAGTGACTTTTCCATACTAAACGTCACTTTAAAACACTGTTCAACGAGCGTGTGATTTTTATTAGTAAAATTGAAAAATAAAAACGCTATGTTAATTCACATTATTTTATTTGCATCTTACGGTGGGCAATCTTTCGAAATAACGCACTATTATACTTAAACAAAATTCACATATTCACATACGATGCTTGCTTATGTGAAGCAGCAAATCAAACGCACAGCGTTGAATAGAGCTCTGTGATTGGGTCGTGTGTCACCCTGTGCGTCCACGCGCACTGTAAGACCTCATAGTAATGTTTGTGAATACGGACAATATCCTACTTAGCAATACTTGCTTTAACTTCCTTCATCTTGGCTTGGAGAATCTAGTAGCTTAGGAAACGTATCCAAACTGACGGTAGCTGTCTATTAGACCATGAAGTGCACTTTTGAACAGAGCGATGGTATCTCCGCTAAGAGTCTCCACTGGCATACCCTCCAATTTTTCCACATCAAATTTCGTCATCGCTTCGTGCATCTGAGCGGCTTCTTCTGGACTCCTCATCAGCATACTTTGCAGCAGAACTGCCGATCCTAAGAACAACTTGGAATATCTCTTGAGATCTGCGTCCAGCTGATCCTTTGGATAAATGTAGTTGGCCTTCAAACCGAAGTTGGATAATGATTTGTCAAGCTGATCGTGGTAGAAGCTTATCCAATCTTGGTAATGTTCTGACCTTATGGCGTGGTCTGTACAGCAGAAGACGAAGTAAAGGAGATCGGCCACTGGACTGTTCTCGTTGGCCAGCTGGTAGTCGATCATGATGGCATTCGAGGGCTTGCCTTCCTGGAACGATGACAAAAATCTAGTAAATATTTTGCAAATCATCTATTTGCCTCTGGTTTTGCGAGGGTCGTGCACGTGCAATGTGCATCTGCAGTGGTGGCCAAAAATGGCACGATGTTGATACAATATACATAGAGTTTGGCCTCAAATTGAGTTTACCAGTGAAGGAAGAAGTGAGCCTTTAACTTTCAAGATTTCATTACAGACATCGGACAGGTGAAAGTAAATAAAAACCTAAAGATATTTTTTAAATCTGTTTATAATGTTACACTACAGTCAAAACTCATAATCAGTCAAAAGTGATTTTGATGCCCTAGGTCAAAATTACTGTTGATTGGTAAAATCTTTGTCTCAGGGCGACAATACGAATTAAACGAATCCAAACTCAATTGGGTTACAATGACACTCGTCAATACAAATCAAACGAGCCTAAATTAAAACTGATTAGACTTGTGTCGTTTTATTGCGTAGTTCCTATGGCTAACTTCCAGCTCCATCATGAGATCAGCTCCATGTCATCATAATATTGCATCGTCACGTGATTTACACATAAATGCAAAATTTCAGAATCAAATCAATAGAAAACCGGGAAGTGGGTTGCGACACGACAGACACCAAACAAGTGACGGTAAATAACAAGCTTGTAAAAAAATTTGAATGATGCTTAATAATAATATGATGTATCAGATGTATGTTATGTAATTTTTTCAAAAGTAGAATAACAGTAATACGTACCTACATACGTACTTCTTTACAAATAAGTAGAATAATTATTTTTTCACTAGACAGCAACCCTAACAGCGTAAGAAGGATTCAGAGGCACGCGATTGAAACTTGTAGGTAAATAAAATTGTAGGCACGCAGTGTTGTGCGAGCTGAATTCCACTGTATCGCGTCGTAGCAAGACTCGCATTTATTTAAATCGTTTTGGGGAGTAAACCTTCTGTATACTATTACTTATTCTGTGGTGCAGGGCAATTACGTAGGGAAAGAAAGAGAGCACAATAAATCATTACAAAACACTTATTGTTTCAATTTAGAAGTTGTATACTCTCTGTAAAATGTTTAACTATGATAAATCATTACAAACCACTTTTTTATTTTAAGTCAGATGTTGTAGACTTTTATCAATCACAAAATGTAAGAATTTTTTAAAAAAAGTACTGAAATATTACTGAAATCAAATTGACCGTTTTTGACAGTTTATGATTTGTTTTTGACCGTTTTTGACCAATTTGACCGTAAATGACGGTCAGTCAAATTCAGCCGCTTTGGTCATTTTCAACACTAGTCACGTAATCAGCTTTGACACATTGATAAGACTATACATACGTGGATCTTGAAGAAATTTTTGTACTAAGAATCATGACGGAGCAGCCAGAAATCGCCATTCGAAGTTTCAAGTGAAAGTGAACTTCAAGAACCCAAGGAAGAAGAATATAAGTCAATACTGGTAAGTTTTGTTTTTTATTGTTACCTATGTAATAACAAATGTACCATGTTTATTGCAAATAATTATTCATTTAGAAAGTTATTGCAACTATTAGTTTAGTAGTCCTAATATAATCGTAATGGAAAGCGTGCCCAATATGTTGTTAACAGATTTAATAATCAGCAGTTACGCCGATCACCTCATACAGTCAGACACTAATAATTTTATAGCATAATTGACAGAAAAATACTGATAGCTAAAATTGATAAAAGTAGGTCCTACTAGGTTAATCACGGAGTAGGGCCGCGCGACAAGGCGAATGCATGTGGCAGTGAGGCTGTCACTAGTAGCACAATTAGTAGTTACTACACACGTGCTAGTGGTACTAAACACGTCGCGACAAGTTGCGTACTTGTCGCAACGTGTTTTGCACGACTGGCATTTGTGGATATTATGAACTGCTCAACATTTTTGGCTACCGCAGCCAGGCCAGGATTCTCATTTTGTAACAAAAGTAGGCACATACTTACATCAAGTTGGAACATGATATTATTTGTCCAGGAGTCACCTTGCTGAATTATTAAATATTTAGGGTTCTCGTGTTTCTTAATTTTAGGCAATAGTGCATTCATTTGAGAAACAACACCGCGTATGTATTTTTTGTATTCCTCGTCATCTAATACTTCGAGAGCACTTTGTTCAACTTGCGCCAAAAACATCATTTGGTCCTCATTTGCCATTAATTTCCACACATCAGTCAATCTGTTACTAAAATTTTCATACGTTTCTGGTTCCAAATGTTTTAAAACATATGACATGGAATGTATAGTAGCAAAGTTTTTGAGAACCAGCAACACGGCTTCATTGCTCATCGGCGCACGCCTATCCAGCATTACGTAATCTAAAGGTTTTAAGTCCTCAAGCAAAATCACTTCGTTTGGTTCTTCCGAAAGGCAACCGTAACAATGAGCATACCGCAAAATTTCATTTTCTGATACGCCAGCTTCTTCTTGCAGACTTTTAAATTTTGGTAGCACTTGTTCGTACATAATTATTTCGTTATTGAACAAATATGATGTGTTCATACCGGTACGTACAGCCTCAAGTTGTGGTGCGACTTTGGCGATCATCTTGAAGTCATTGCCATCTTGAACAATAACTGTTATTCTCAAAACGGTGGCTACAAAGTTATCACCAGCCTTGCCAGCTGGTTCGAACACCACCTTGTTATTTTCAAATCCTCTTTTTTGTAGCACTTCACGAATAAACTGCTGTTGTTTTTCACTGACACCTGCCGGTACCCCCTCAAATTGTAACGCCATATTCACCTCAAAGTCACGATAACATAAAATGTTTTATACTATAACTACGGCTTATATACGACGAACGAACTCGGATTCATCGTATTATCGAATAATGATTAACAACTTTATCGACTTTTGATTAAGAGTTATCAATATTATACGCAAACTATCTATCCACCTTGTTGTGACCTTGTGGATAGAATCAGTTACGTGTGGCTAAAGAAGCAAAGCAGAACTCTAACATAACTAAACTATGCAAATAACTTAACTAACCAGCCGGGCTAGGATGCGCGCCGTGATAAAATCTTATAGATGATTTTATACGACAAATATATGGGCTTATCGCGTAAAATCGATAAAATGTCGTGATAAACGCTTATCGCGGCGCGCATCCTAGGCCTACAGGTAGATGCCTAGGTTACTACAAGCCTACATACCATACCACACATTTTGGCAACCGCGTTATTCCAGGCGACCAAAATTTCAAATCTGATAACGAAGATAAGTATTGTACGTGAATTTATGAACTTTTTAGAGTACTAGCGGCCGCCCGCGACTTCGTACGCGTGGATCCCGTTTTACCCCCTTCATCTATCTTACGCGGTTTAGATTTTTTCATACAAATGTTTTTTCCCGCTAACTCCCGTTCCCGTAGGAATTTTGCAATATCCTGTTGTAACTAAGCTTTAAGTTTACTAAGGTACCTACACCAAATTTCAAGCGTCTAACTTAATCGGTTTAGATTTTTCATACAAAGGGTTTTCCCGCTAATTCCCGTTCCCGTGGGAATTCCTTAGTATATTATAACCTGCCCAGGAGTATGAAGAATAATTGTACCAAGTTTCGTTAAAATCCGTCGAGTAGTTTTTGTTTCTACAGGGTGTTAGGTAAATGGGTATAATAATATGAGCCGACACTAACCCATGTTAACATGGGCATATATATGGTATGGTGAAGTCCGGAATTTGATATCACCATTTATTTTTTTTAAATTTTCATACAAAACTAGCTGACCCGGCGAACTTTGTTCCGCCTTAATGGCAATAAATAAGCAGACTTTTTTTTAATTTCGAACGGGATAAAAAGTATCCTATGTCCTTCTCCTGGCTCTAAACTACCTCCCTGACAATTTTCAGCTAAATCGGTTCAGCCGTTCTTGAGTTATAAGCGAAGTAACTAACACGACTTTCTTTTATATATATAGATAATAAATTCCGATTTGTATGAAAATAAAAATAATTAAAATGAAGATATCAATTTTCTGACTTCACCATACCATTTATATGCCCATGTTAACATGGGCTAGTGTAGGCTCTTATTATACCCATTTACCTAACACCCTGTATAAGGAACATACAGACAGACAGACAAAAATTTTACTGATTGCATTTTTGGCATCAGTATCGATCACTAATCAGACTAATCACCCCCTGATAGTTATCTATGTATACTTATAATAAATCTGTAGAGAGGTCAATTCTGTACATGAAATATATTTTCAAAAATATATTTTCAGGGGGTAATAATTAGTGATCGATACTGATGCCAAAAATGCAATCAGTAAAATTTTTGTCTGTCTGTCTGTCTGCCCGTCTGTATGTTCCTTATAGAAACAAAAACTACTCGACGGATTTTAACGAAACTTGGTACAATTATTCTTCATACTTCTGGGCAGGTTATAGTATACTTAGGAATTCCCACGGGAACAGGAATTAGCGGGAAAATCCTTTTGTATGAAAAATCTAAACCACTTAAGTTAGACACTTGAAATTTGGCATGTAGGTACCTTAGTAAACTTAAAGCTTAATTACAACAGGATATTGCAAAATTCTTACGGGAACGGGAGTTAGCGGGAAAAAACATTTGTATGAAAAAATCTAAACCGCGTAAGATAGATGAAGGGGGTAAAACGGGATCCACGCGTACGAAGTCGCGGGCGGCCGCTAGTACTCGAGTCGAATAATCGAGTGATATCACTTATCGTGTATGTAGTTATGTACTTACCGACATGAGGAGAGATATCAAAACTACACAAAGCACAGTGCTGGTCATCGTGACAAGTTCAGTACATATACTAGTACATACACTATGTTGTTGGTATACCGTAAATAAAATAAAATAAAATAAAATATGCACTACAGCATGTTTTGCTCATATTTATGAATTTTGTCACAATAGCGCACTTGATCAAATAAATGTATAGGATTAACGCTGAATTGCACCACCTAAAATTAACCGTATCTATAACCGGTGTTTTTTGGATAGAGTTTGACAGAATTTTGACGTTTGTTAAAGTTAAAGTAAGATTGTTGAACCCAAACTAAGAGCTAGTGAACGCCAGACCTACGTTATTTTAGTTGAAAGTTTGTCAGCGCATGCTCCTGTCATAGGTTAGTACGTTGGTGCAGAATGAAGTTAATGTCATCGTGGTTTTGGAAGCTACCCTAAATTGATTGTTTGGCAAGGGGTTGAAACAGTCAAAAGCATCTGGCATTGATAAAATAACTAGAGGCCGCACGCGACATCGTACGCGTGGATCACGTTTTACCCCCTTAGGGGTGGTAATTTCGTAAAATCCTTTCTTAGCGGATGCCTACGTCATAACATCTACCTGCATGCCAAATTTCAGCTCGATCCGTCCAGTGGTTTGGGCTGTGCGTTGATAGATTACTATGTCAGTCAGTCACCTTTGAGTTATTATATTTACATGGTCTGGTCAGGTCTGGCGTTCACTAGCTCTACGCTGAGTTGCACCAAGTTATTTTAACCGTAACTGTAACAATAACCGGTGATTTTTGTGTGGAGTTTGACAGATTTTTGACGTTTGTTAAAGTTAAAGTAAGATGCTAACTATGCTAACTATAACTTAGCCTTAGGCCCAGTTTTTTTAATTCTTAGTTAAAATAACCAATATGTAGTCTAATTTGACAGATGTCAAATGACAAGTTAAGTGGTTTTAAAATAACTAGTTGTTAAATTTTGCTACATTTATGGCAACCAAACCTCTCTGGGAGGTTTATTTCTGCCAATGTCGAGTGAAAAATATTGACATAGTTATCAATAGAACGTGGGTGTTTCAGTTCTATTGATTTTTCATGGATTCCGTGGAGTTAAGTATGCCCGTAAGCAGGTTTCGAGACGCCCCACCGGGTCCAAAGCGGGTTGTTCATACGACAACCCACTCGACACTCGATGCGCGCTCAAATTCGAAGTATTTCAATGTTTTTTTATAATTTATCACTTCACTGCACTTTAGAACACAATATAACACCAAATTTGTACACTAAAGTCCATTAAATAATAAATTGAAACCATTAAAACAGATCGACCATGCTTCCCGTTCAACTACCCTCCACGGAATCCAAACGTTTTTTTCCGATATTTAACCACTTGTCATTTGACATCTGTCAAATTTGACTATTGGTTATTTTAACTATGAATCAAAAAACTGGGCCTTAGTCTAACTAATACATTTAGAATAAAATTCCTTTATTCAGCATTAACATTTAGGTGCATACATACAATGTTTAATTTGACATTTATTGCGTTTATTGTTGTAGTAACTGTATACATCTAACTACATAAATCAAGGCAAGTTATAATTAACCCTACAGTGGTCGCGTGGATTACACCCGTAATCCACTCGTGCAAATTGTCGAATATTTTGAAATCGGTCAACGCGATCGTTTTGATACTTCGTGTACTTTAAGTTGCATAATCGAAGATCACACTTAATGACGTGTGAGCGCCAGGTCGCTTGTGGATGTGTCGCAGGAGCCCCGTAAATGCCAATGGTCTACCCGTGTAATCCGCGCGACCAATTACGTAAGTATTTTTTAAGTAACCTTTTTTACTTAATGTGTTTGTTTTTGCATTATTAGTGTAAATTAATGCTTTATAATAAATAATTAGGGCATAGGTATGTATTTACATTTGTGTTTTCAATAAAATCATTGTATTTCAGATAAAAATCATGAACAATAGACAAAAAGGACAAATTGCGGAATGGCTAGAAGTAATTGACAATGAAAGCGTATCTTCTAGCGACTCTTCGGTTTCTGATGAAGAAGTGCACATTCTTCCACAAGAGAACAAGTTTCTCAGACCAGTGATTAGCCATCTAACTCAGAACCATCACAGCGGAGGTTTTTAGGTCGCTACTTTGACTGCGGAAGAAAGCGAAATAAAAGTTCTGGAAATACTTGTAATTCGTGCAACAAATTTATTTGTCCTTATCATTCCATGATGACCTGTATCTCTTTTTCAAAATATAATTAATAAATAAGTGCCATTAGAACTGAATAATTTCTGAACTGCCAAAGTTGACATTTTCTTGATGAAAAATGATGATTTTTATGTTTTGGTTAATTTATAAAAACTGAGAAGAACTTCTCGTTTCTTTGTCTGATTATTTCATTAACTAATACATAACAATAAATATAAAAAATAAAGAAACATGTTTTTATAAAGAGATGTCTTCTTTTTTTACTCCATAAAATGGCTTACGCATGTAATCCACGCGACCATTTACGTAATATTTTAGAGCGCGACCATCGTAGGGTTAAAGTAAGATAGTATGTAAAAAACTAATAAAGCTGTCATATAGTTTTTCCTACAAACTGCATACTGTCACTAGACATTTACTACTTAAAGAAGAACGGTCACGCCCCATACAAAAAAAAAACCATTTTCAGCTTTCTAAAAATACTAGACACCAAACCTTAGGTCGTCTGTTTTATTTGTGTTGATCAATAATGTGATTCTATAAATACATCATGTACCTAGTCGTTTGTAAATTAAATGACTAAGAGTCACTATAATTAGTTTCATATTGTATTATTACTGATAAACAATAAATAATCATAAATTGAACTAATGTTAAGGAAAACTTGTTTAACTAGAACTAGTATCTTGTTTAAGGTAACGAAATAAATGTATTTGTAACAAGGGGAGTGACTTTGTTTATACTACGTAAAGAAGATTTACTTTGCCAAATTTGGTTACATAATTAGGTTACTTGTTCTTAATTTAATTATTATATTCCTCGTACCTATATCATATGTAATTAATATAAGAGCTGTAAGTTTCTTTCAATAAATAAATAAATAAAATTTTGTTATTTATACAAATATCCTATCCCCCTTTACCTGTGCCTTTACTAATAAAAAGTTACACACTTGTTGAACACTGTTTTAAAGTGACATTTCCATACTAAACGTCACTTTAAAATACTGTTCAACGAGCGTGTGATTTTTATTAGTAAAATTGAAAAATAAAAACGCTATGTTAATTTACATTATTTTATTTGCATCTTACGGTGAGCTATCTTTCGAAATAACGCACTATACTTAAAAAAAATTCACGTTATCACATACGATGCTTGCATATGTGAAGCAGCAAATCAAACGCACAGCGTTGAATAGAGCTCTGTGATTGGATCGTGTGTCACCCTGTGCGTCCACGCGCACTGTGAGACCTCATAGTAATGTTTGTGAATACGGACAATATCCTACATAGCAATACTTGCTTTAACTTCCTTCATCTTGGCTTGGAGAATCTAGTAGCTTAGGAAACGTATCCAAACTGACGGTAGCTGTCTATTAGACCATGAAGTGCACTTTTGAACAGAGCGATGGTAACTCCGCTAAGAGTCTCCATTGACATACCCTCCAATTTTTCCTCATCAAATTTCGTCATCGCTTCGTGCATCTGAGCGGCTTCTTCTGGATTCCTCATCAGTATACTATGCACCACAACTGCCGATCCTAAGAACCACTTGGAATATCTCTTGAGATCTGCGTCCAGCTGATCCTTTGGATAAATGTAGTTGGCCTTCAAACCATAGTTGGATAATGATTTGTCAAGCTGATCATGGTAGAAGCTTATCCAATCTTGTTAATGTTCTGACCTGCTGGCGTGGTCTGTACAGCAGAAGACGAAGTAAAGGAAATCGGCCACTGGACTGTTCTCGTTGGCCAGCTGGTAGTCGATCATGATGGCATTCGTGGGCTTGCCTTCCTGAAACGATGACAAAAATCTAGTAAATATTTTGCAAATCATCTATTTGCCTCTGGTCTAGGTCAAAATCACCGTTGATTGGTAAAATCTTTGTCTCAGGGCGACAATACGAATTAAACGAATCCAAACTCAATTGGGTTACAATGACACTCGTCAATACGAATCAAACGAGCCCAAAATAAAACTGATTAGATTTGTGTCGTTTTATTGCGGAGTTCCTATGGCTAACTTCCAGCTCCATCATGAGATCAGCTCCATGTCATCATAATATTACATCGTCACGTGATTTACACATGAATGCAAAATTTCAGAATCAAATCAATAGAAAACCGCGAAGTGGGTTGCGACACGACAGACACCAAACAGGTGAAGGTAAATAAAAAGCTTGTAAAAAAATTTGATGCTTAATAATAATATGATGTATGTATATAACCTATAGGTGTGCTATTATTTTCTAAAAATTTGAGTTAGATTTCGGTTTTGTCGAGCTTCACCTCGGTTCGGTGTAATTTAGACTAGGTATTTGACAAATTTCCAAACTTTTTGACCTCAGATCGCAACAAATGAGGTGTCTATAGATAGGGCTCGCCGAGACGAATTCGAAAAGCCGATAGCTATAGCGTCTGTTCCTCAACCATGCGTGTTTTTCAAAAATACTGCCTAAGGTCTGTAGCTAAAGGTCTAAGCTGCAAGAAAGAAAAATCTTCTAGCCAAAAAGATGGCAGATGCAGCAGATATCAACGCATTTAAGACTGGAGTTCATGTGGCTCCTTGTAGATTTGAGTCTCTAGCTAGAGCATCCCTTCCTCCACCATGCGTAAGTATTTTTCAAAAATACTGCCTAAGGTCTGTAGCTAAAGGTCTAAGCTGCAAGATAGAAGAATCTTCTAGGCAAAAAGATGGCAGATGCAGCAGATATCAACGAATTTAAGACTGGAGTTCACGTGGCTCCTTGTAGACCTGAGTCTCTATAGCATCTCTCCCTCCACCATGCGTAAGTATTTTTCAAAAATACTGTCTAAGGTCTGTAGCTAAAGGTCTAAGCTGCAAGATAGAAGAATCTTCTAGGCAAAAAGATGACAGATGCAGCAGATATCAACGGATTTAAGACTGGAGTTCACGTGGCTCCTTGTAGACCTGAGTCTCTATAGCATTTCTCCCTCCACCATGAGTAAGTATTTTTCAAAAATACTGTCTAGGGTCTGTTGTTAAAGATCTAAGCTGCAACATTTAAAAATGTTCTAGCCAAAAAGATGGCGGATGCAGCAGCAACGAATTTAAAACTGGAGTTCATGTGTCTCATTGTAAATTTGAGTCTCTAGAGCGTCCCTTCCTCCACCATACGTAAGAATTTTTCAAAAATACTGTCTAAGGTCTGTAGCTAAAAGTCTAAGCTGCAAGATAAAAGAATCTTCTAGCCAAAAAGATGGCAGATGCAGAAGATATCAATGGATTTAAGAATAGAGTTCATGTGGCTCCTTGTAGACTTGAGTCTCTAGAGCGTCCCTTCCCCCACCATGCGTAAGTATTTTGCCATTGCTAAGACTTCTTCTTTTATTTTGGCAATGACTTACGCCCGTATTCACAAACGATGCTTGCTTAAGTGAAGGAGAAAATCGAACGCACAGCGTTGAATAGAACTCTATGATTGGTTCGTGTGTCACCCTGTGCGTCCACACGCACTGTGAGACCTCATAGTAAAGTTTGTGAACGGGCGTTGGTTTTGTGAACCATGATTTCGCCAATGTCACAGTAGATAAATGAAACAGTACGTATTAAAAAATAAAACCGTTTTTTGGAGTCGGTTTTTTTTATTAAAATAAACTTATTTCTTGCTTTTTTTTAGTTAACTAATTATTACCTTGATGTTACCACTGAAGGTGGGGAGTACATTGAGACTATACATGTCAAGTTTAAATAATATTCCCTACAAAATACAGGTTACCATATCGGCAACCTAAAAAGACCTTCAACCGTCAGCCCACCTTGAAAACATGAAAGAATACAACTGTTGGTCTATTTGTACCTATAATATTTAAAGAATTACCCTCCAACTCCTAAGCGTTAAGGAGTTGTGATGGTAGATCACCAGTTTATCATGATGAGATGATGACTATCTGATGCAAACACTTGAATAACTTTAGAAACTATACTTATCCTAAGCATTAAGGAGTTATACTTCCCAAATTGATGAGCTAATAATTTCCAGAAGCAAATACTTGAATAACGTCAGAAAAAATATGAAAAACAATAAACGTGCCTATAAAATTTGAGGGTTGCCCTCGACTTCCCTAGGATCCCATCATCAGATCCTGACTTGGTGACAATGAGACCACCTAAGAAGTGTACCCTATACCCTATCGAACAAAAAAAGAATTTTGAAAATCGGTCCACAATTGACGGAGTAATCGGTGGACATACATAGAAAAAAAAATACATACAGTCGAACATAATTATAACCTCCTCCTTTTTTGAAGTCGGTTAAAAATGAAGTTATCGTAATGAAAAATAAGTAAGTGCTTTACGAGCTCTATCCAACGGTACCAATAATAAGTTACAAAATAAACAATCTATCCGAAAATTCAAAGTTTCCAGCTTCCATACATTTAGTAGGTACTACATACATGAGTTTACCTTCTGTTATATTTTGTGTAATCAGCTTTGGTGAACTTCGAGAACCCAAGGAAGAAAAATATAATATAAATCGATACTGGTAAGTTTTTTTTTATTGTTACTGTAATAACAAATGCACCATGTGCAGAAAATTGATAACATCATTTTAATTATTTTAATTTTCATATAAATCGGATTTTATAAAATTTATTTTGTATGAAAATTAAAATGATGATATCAAACTGACTTCACCATACCATTTATATGACCATGTTAACATGGGCTAGTGTCGGTCGGCTCATATACCCATTTACCTAACACCCTGTATATTCATACACTTTGTGCCGTTCACTCGATCGGACGTGTCAGCGCTATGAAAATAAATATTTAATTTAACTATTCACTAGCAAAATCGCGACCTACATTATCGAAACTCGGAAGTGTTTTATCTGTGTCATTTATTTCTAATTGAACACTGAACTTATAATGATTTGTGTATAGACTTGATAATATGGAAGGAAGTCCCTTCAACCGGAGTGCGCTCACGCAGCGCAGCCCTCCGCCCACGCCCACGCAGCAAGCGCCGCCCGCCGCCCCCGTCATGGAACCACTCGAAGTGGTGGCCACTTCAGAACTCCAGAACTGGATGAAAAGCATCGAGCAGTGCCTGAATGAGGTGTGCATAATCTCATCGGAAGGAAAGCTCAACACTGACCAGAAACTGAGGATTAGTAACCTGTGCAGAAGGGTGAGCAATGGAACATCCCAAATGGCCGTACAATACCAGTCGCTGAAGCAAAAGGCCATTCAAGCTCATAGCAACATACAGGTCCTTAAAGAAAGTCAAGACATTTCACAGCAACTTCAAGACCTCAAGAAAAGCATAGAAGTGACCTCAAAACCTATCTCGGGAGCGTTTTCCTTTGCTGACATGGTTAAAAAGAGTCCTGTCAATTTTATTCAGCCCAAAAACTTCAGTTCTGTAGCTATTTACCCGAATGATAAAATGAAGTCAAGCGAGGAAACCAAGTCCCTAGTGCAAAAAATAATTAAGCCCGAAGAAATGAAATTGCACGTGAGAGGTCTACGGAAAACTAGAGATGGCGGCGTTATCATCAGCACCAACTCCAAAGACGACATCGAGAAGATAAAGCAGTCAACGCAATTAAGAACATCAGGCCTCATCATAGACGAGACGAAGAAACGGAAGCCCAGGATTATAGTACTGGGAGTTCCTGCTTCCATGGATGAAACTGAGGTATTTAAATGCATATACCATCAAAACCTAGCCGACAAACTTCAAAATACGTCACTGGAAGCGTTCATGTCCTCTATTAAGCTAAGCCATAAATCAGGGAGGAAAGACACCGAAACCTGTAATTATGTAATTGAAGTCACAGCTCAAATACGGAAGACCTTGATAGCAAATGACAGAGTTTTTGTGAACTGGTCATCGTGCCCTGTTAGAGACTTTACCCTAGTGACAAGGTGCTACAAGTGTCAGCAGTATGGACACGCTGCTAAGACCTGTCGTGAAGCTAATATCACCTGCGGCCACTGCGGAGAAGTGGGTCACGTATTAAAGGATTGCAATAAAAAGGATGAACCCTCAAAATGTGCGACCTGCTTGCACTTCAAAAAGCCCAACAATCACAAGACAGGTGACGCTGAGTGCCCTGCTAAGAAACTAGCAGAACAAAGATATATTAACACCATAGATTACGAAGGCGCCTAAGAGCGTCCCCTGCGAGTTTATGTTTGTCTTGATGTGTCAGTTTTATCATTAGCTAATTTACTACCTAGATTGTATAAATTAACTTTTACCATTAGTACCTACTAGTAGATAACTCCATAATTAATCATAGAGCTGTCCCACTAACCTTTTATCAAATCTACCTTAACAAACCGAATTGCATTTAAGTATATCTAGAGTAAACATAAATAACTTGTATGATTTTTGCAACATTGAGCGTGACCCAGTTTATTATTTTTGTTTACGCAGACACTGTATGTTGGATGTTTTTAATAAAGTATGTAGAACAAGCAATATTATGTAGCACATCGTATTGATTTCAAATCTTAAATGTAACTTGTGTAGATTTTAATTTTTTAATTATATATTATTATGTATAAATATTAGATTATATATTTTGCTAGAAATAGTTCTATTAATAAAGTAATGTAAGCCTTTTTTTTTTTTGCCTGAGATACAGGAATTATAATTCTTAGTTCAGGCACGTATGTACTTTTACCTATTATAGTTTAATATTAGCCTATTGTTAAAAACTGTCAATAAGTTATTCAATAAAGAATTTATTATTTATTATTATTATAAAAAGAATTTATTTATTATTATATTGCACCTACGGTGCAATAACGTCACTTATGCTTTTTTTTTCAAAACTTAACTGATTATGAGAAAATACTCCAATCTACCACTTTACTTGGTTTACTTTGATTCAGTTAAGTTTTAAAAAATTGCATAATTGACGTTATTGCACCGTAGGTGCGATATTTAGATTGATTGAAAAATACTGATAGCTAAAATTGATAAAAGTACTAGGTTAATCACGGAGTAGGGCCGCGCGGCCGCGCGACAAGGCGAATGCAAGGGACAGTGAGTTGTGCAGTGAGGCTGTCACTAGTGGTTACTACACACTAGTGGTACTAAACACGTTTTACACGACTGGCATTTGTGGATATTATGAACTGCTCAACATTTTTGGCTACCGCAGCCAGGCCAGGATTCTCATTTTGTAACAAAAGTAGGCACATACTTACATCAAGTTGGAACATGATATTATTTGTCCAGGAGTCACCTTGCTGAATTATTAAATATTTAGGGTTCTCGTGTTTCTTAATTTTAGGCAATTGTGCATTCATTTGAGAAACAACACCGCGTATGTATTTTTTGTATTCCTCGTCATCTAATACTTCGAGAGCACTTTGTTCAGCTAACGCCAAAAACACCATTTGGTCCTCCTCATTTGTCATTAATTTCCACACATCAGTCAATCTGTTACTAAAATTTTCATACGTTTCTGGTTCCAAATGTTTTAAAACATATGACATGGAATGTATAGTAGCAAAGTTTTTGAGAACCAGCAACACGGCTTCATTGCTCATCGGCGCACGCCTATCCAGCATTACGTAATCTAAAGGTTTTAAGTCCTCAAGCAAAATCACTTCGTTTGGTTCTTCCGAAAGGCAACCGTAACAATGAGCATACCGCAAAATTTCATTTTCTGATACGCCAGCTTCTTCTTGCAGACTTTTGAACTTTGGTAGCACTTGTTCGTACATAATTATTTCGTTATTGAACAGATATGGTGTTTGCAAACCGGTACGTACAGCCTCAAGTTGTGGTGCGACTTTGGCGATCATCTTGAAGTCATTTCCATCTTGAACAATAACTGTTATTCTCAAAACGGTGGCTGCATAGTTATCACCAGCCTTGCCAGCTGGTTCGAACACCACCTTGTTATTTTCAAATCCTCTTTTTTGTAGCACTTCACGAATAAATGCTGTTGTTTTTCACTGACACTTGCCGGTACCCTCTCAAATTGTAACGCCATATTCACCTCAAAGTCACGATAATATAAAATGTTTTATACTATAACTACGGCTTATATACGACGAACGAACTCGGATTCATCGTATTATCGATTATTGATTAACAACTTTATCGACTTTTGATTTAGAGTTATCAATATTATACGCAAACTGTCTAGCCACTTGTTGTGACCTTGTGTGATAAAATCTTATAGATGATTTTAGACGACAAATGACGGTTTATCGCGTAAAATCGATAAAATGTCGTGATAAACGCTTATAGCGGCGCGCATCCTAGGCCTACAGGTAGATGCCTAGGTTACTACAACCCTACATACCATACCACACATTTTGGCAACCGCGTTATTCCAGGCGACCAAAATTTGAAATCTGATAACGAAGATAAGTGTATTTGTACGTGAATTTATGAACTTTTTAGAGTATTAAGGGACATGATAGATCCGAAGACCGTCCATTTTGCTTTGTCCTTTTTTCTTAAGTCTCGTAGTTTATTAGTCATCTGAAGCTCACTTTCTTTTATTTCTTTTCAGGAAACGAGTGAGTGAACGGCAAACAGAAGCGCCTAAATATTTTGATTGTGGTAAACTTATTGTTAACTAACTTAGTGATATGAGTTCTTGCATATCCAAGCGAACGCGAACGCTAGCGAACCGAGTGTTCCCTATTAATATCAATTCTTTTAACGTTCTGTCACATCAATGCACCAAGCATCCCAGCTCATTACGATGAACTAATTGAAGCTTTTTCCACCGACAATATTCACGCAATTCTTGTGTCAGAAACTTTTTTTTTTTTTTTTATGCACAACGAGGAAGCTCTTGGCCTGTATCTCACCTGATGGTAAGTGACGATCAGGCCGAAGGTGGAAACGAGCTTCACCCGGAATCCTCAACCACGGAGGAACTGGCTATCTTACCTCTAACTGCCGGAACACAACAATGCTGTTAACATTGTTGTTATGGCGACAGACTTAGGTAAGATGGTGGTAGCTAGCCAGGCGGACTTACAACAAGCCCTACCACCAACCAAACCGAACAGAAAAATCTGCCCCACTGGGAATCGAACCCGGGACCTCTGCGTCTGAAGCAGGTGGTCTAACCACTAGACCACAGAGGCGGTTGAGCAGCGGCGGTTGAGCAGCAGCGGCTTAAGTCAGAACACAAATCAACGAGTTACAGTTTACCTAGTTTTAAACTCATTCGAAAAGATCGTGTTGGTAAAGGCGGTGGAGGTGTTGCCATATATTTGCGTAATGATATATTTCCTATAAAATTGTTAAAATACTAACTTTGGGCATCACTGAGTTCTTAATCTTGGAGGTCGATCTGGAAGGGATCAATAAGGCAATTCTCGGAGTGATTTATAATCCTAAAGCAAATTTTCTTTCAGACTTAGTAACAGTTCTTAAATCGATTAGCACCAATTACCCTCATCACATACCAATATTACTTGGTGACTTGAATGTCAATAACCATGGACCTATAAAAAAAGGCGGACGGAACTCGCGCTACAACAAAACTGTGACGCAAAATTTTGGCGTTTGTCTATTGTGTGAGTGAATTTAGGGATGCCATGTTAGCCAAAACATTTTACCCATTTATTTTAAGAAAAACATAGATCGGCAGATGTTACTTGGAAATGTAGACAGAATTATTCCGTGCTATTTTAAAAGGATGAAAGGTGTATGCGTTGAGGTAGGCGCGAAATTTTCAATGTTCAAATTTTCTTACATTGTTTGCAAGTCAGTGTGTCAGGGTATGTACATAATGTTGATCAAAAATAATTCACGCAGTTACAAATTACGAATCTTGTGTACATTATAATCATAATCTTATGCATCATCAATATATTATTATTATCTCTGATAGATTTTTTTTAACATACAACCTGACACTGACTTGCAATCAATGTAAGAAAATTTGAATTTCGCAGTTCCACATTTTTGGGAAGGATCAAATTTGCCTATGAAAATATATCCCATTAAAACACAATAATTATGATAAATTATTTTATTTCCATAGTATGCGTAATACATAACTAAAAAGTCCTAAAATCATTATTAATTTCCCATATTTCGGGTAATTTTCCCACGTAAATAACTGAGAACACTGGTCTTTGACGTATTATTTTTTCGAGTGAATGACGTTTGATTTCAATTAATTTCAATATTTTAATGTCGGGAAATAAGTGATTGGATTATTATTTTACCTGTGAAATGTGATTCCTTAATTTTTGTTTGTTCGAACAGAACGGTTTTTNCAGTACGGTTTTTACACAATTTCATCACACAAGACATGTCGTATTCGTGTTGTTTTTTCGCTGCTTAAATGTGTCAACTGTGTGAAGTTTGCTCTCGAAGTGGTGTAACAGGGTGTGAATGTGTGCGTGCCGGCCTGTACGTACAGGCAAGCTGGTGTATCCTAATGTCACAGTATTTTGTTGATGAGACTCCGTCCGACTTTTTTTATAGGTCCATGGTCAATAACCATAAAATTACTTCTTATTCGCGTAAACTTCGTTCCATAGTTGGTTCAGTAAATCTTAAAATTCTCGAACTACTCCCCACACATCACAATATTAAAGCGCATATTCAGGATACCTGGATTGACCATATACTAACTTCTGCTGACCATGTCCTGAACCACGGTCAGGTACCTGCGCCTGGTTTCTCTCATCATGACCTTATTTATGTGAGGTACAAAATATCGCCACCAAAGTCTTGAAAAGAGACTTGCCCGATGCCAATAAAAAATTGTGCTCGGAAGATGCTATTCTGTCGTTTTAAGGTCTATTTTTAGTTTTGCTTGATTTTGTTTCAGAGGTGTTAATGTACTAGTAACTTGAAGAAGGCCGGTAGAAGTAGATACTCCAAAACTTGTTTTTTTTCTTGTTTGTTCGTTCATTCTTTTCTGTCGGTAATTTATTCATAATAACCGGTTATTATTAATAATTTTCAATTTATCACATTCACCGTAACCGAAATTCACGAAATCATATTAGAAACCTCTAAAAATATCAGTACCTATTTCTCTACTATTATGCAAGCTAAGGATGTTAAGGTACTAACAACAAATGGTCGGATCAGTATGGTCTGTTGAAAATAAATACAATTAATGAGCCTTGGGGTTCATCAGGATTGGAAGGCCCTTTCGAGATGCTCATAAACCAATAACTCTTACGGTTTTATCAAGTTTTACGATCATGTTTCTGCTGCACCTCAATTTCTACTGAAACAAACATATGAAAAAGTCAAAATCTCTCTCGATAATCTTATTTTCTTACCCATAGATATTATTTTATAAATCCTCGTCGCAAATATTACTGTTGCGGCTCGGGCAAAGCATTGGCCCCAAGGGCGTGATATCGAGAGCCTCCTCGGTTTCATAGTTTTTGTTGTTTTCAGTAGCAAAATGTGTATCATTTAGTACCTACCAAATAAATAGTTTAAATTTCTTTCTTTCTTTCTAAAATTGTATAGCGGTGGACTAACTCGAAGATATTTATTTTTGTCGTAAATGAGTATTTAATTATATAAAAACTCATAAAACTAATTTATTTATGCAAGTAGGCTTTTAAAAAGCACTTTTAGTG